GTGGGGTCCTTCATGATGCAGGTGGCCCTCTTCCTGCATCTGGAGGTGTAGATGTCTGTGATGGTGGGGAGGCTGATTCCGACAGATTTCTGTGCAGCCTTCACCACGCTCTGCAAAGCTTTTCTTTCTGCAGCTGTGCAGCCTCCATGCCACACATTGATGCTGGTGCACAGGATGCTCTCCACTGCACACCTGTAGAAGGAGGTGAGGACTGAGCTTCCCAGACCAGCTCGCCTCAACCGTCTGAGGAAGGAGAGTCTCTGATGAGCTTTCTTGATCAGGCTGGTGGTGTTGTTGCTCCAGCTGAGGTTGTCATTCATGTGTACACCCAAGTACTTGTAGCTGGAGACCACTTCCACCGCAGATCCTCTTATGTTCAGGGGGGTGTAGGTGTTTTTGTTCCTTCTGAAGCCCACAATCATCTCCTTTGTCTTCTTCACATTGATGTGAAGGTTATTCTCTCTGCACCAGCTCTCCAGGTGTTCCACCTCTTGCCTGTAGCTGGACTCATTGTTTGTGATGCATCCCACCACCGCTGTATCATCTGCAAACTTTACAATGTGACAGCCTGGATGGGTAGCTGCACAATCATACGTGAGCAGAGTAAACAGGAGGGGGCTCAACACACATCCCTGAGGAGAGCCAGTGCTGAGGGTTATGGTGGAGGAGGAGAGGTTGTGGATCCTCACTAACTGTGGTCTGTTTGTTAAAAAGTCTAGTACCCAGTTGCAGATGGAGGGGCTTAGTCCTAGTGTGGATAGTTTGTCCATCAGGGTTTGGGGGATCATGGTGTTGAAGGCGGATGTGAAGTCCACAAAGAGCATACGGACGTAAGAGTTTTTCTGCTCCAGGTGGTTGAGCGCAGTGTGGACCACAGAGGAGATTGCATCCTCTGTTGATCGGTTCTCACGGTATGCATACTGGTGAGGGTCCTCGTTGATGTTGATGGTTGTTTTGATGTGAGTCATGACCAGTTTTTCAAAGCATTTAGCGACTATCGGGGTGAGGGCCACTGGCCGATAGTCATTCAGACCAGTCACTGTAGAGCTTTTTGGGACTGGGATGATGGTGGCAGTCTTCAGGCAGGTGGGAACTGTCTCCAAGGTAAGTGAGATGTTAAAGATGTCTGCCAGCACCTCACAGAGCTGATCAGCACATTCCTTCAACACTTTTCCAGGGATGTTGTCTGGGCCAGTTGCCTTGTGCGGATTAATCCTCCTGAAGGTACTCCTTACTTCTGCTGAGGTCACGCTGAGATGCTCTTCGTCCGGTGGTGAGGTGAGTCTGGTGCTGGGTGGTCTGTCCGGGTCTTCAAAGCGTGCATAGAACTTGTTGAGGGCATCAGGCAGAGATGGGTCTTTGGGGCATTGTTCGCTCCTTCCTTTATAAACTGTTATGCACTTAATGCCCCTCCACATGCTCCGAGGGTCTTGTGAAATGAATTGACCCTCGATCCTCTGTGCATATGTGGCCTTGGCCCTCTTAATACCAGCAACCAGCTCTTTTCTTGTCCTACTCAGCTCCTCTGAGCTTCCAGACCTGAAGGCAGTGTTCCTGGCTTCCAGCAGGGTACGCACCTCTGCATTCAGCCAAGGTTTTCTGTTTGGGTAGCTTTTAACATTTCTGATAGTGGAGACGGTGTCAGTACATGTACTAATGTAACCCAGAACTGAGGATGTGTATTGGTCAAGATCAAGCGAACCTCCATTTTCAGCAGCTTCTCTGAAAACCTGCCAGTCTGTTCGTTCAAAACAGTCTCTCAGTATGGGGCCACTGTCCTGGATCCAGCATTTAACTTTCTTTTGTACCGGTCTGGAGCGTCTCAGCGGGGGCATGTAAGCAGGAGCCAGGAAGATTGAGATGTGGTCTGACAGTCCTAGGTGGGGGCAGGGTT